TGACGTCCTGTGAGTGGGATGAGAAGCCACAGGGGGTGAGGACATGGTAGTCACATGATCTGATTTACATTTTTAATCGTAGTTTTCCTCCCAGATGCTCACTGTGTAAGCAGCTTCCCAGATCTGGGATGAGGAGACAGTGTTCAGAGGACTGAGACATAATTAAACCAGAGACAGCCTTGTTATCTGAGGGCAGCCTCTACTGGGAGCAGCGAGGGGACTCTGCGATCCTCCCGGTGGCTGGCCCCCACCCCCGCCGCAGTCACACAACAGGTGTGCTGTTCTGGGTGGCCTTGGCTCCTGGCGTGGCCTGGCAGGTGTCGATGGGAGCCTGCTTAGGCTGAGTGAGCCTAGCTGGGCAGGAGCAGGTGTGGTGGCTGCTCACAGGGAGGGCATGGGCTGCACGGCGGGCCACCTGGCAGGACTTGGCAATCTCAACATCTTGCTGGGGCACAGGGAGGTAACCGGAGCCCTGCTCTGCAAAGGTATGGCAGGGTGAGGCTCTGAGAGTTGAACCACATGTTCTGTGAGGCCTGCCTCTGGGGTTCTGGAGCCCTTTCTTCAGAGCAGCACTGCTTCTTGCTCACAACCAGAGGGCAGCCACGCCATTGTTGCCCACCTTCCTTAGGCAGTGGGTACGTTCAGCAAGTGCTGGGTTCCACCTTACCAGATCACAAGGTCGCACTCATCACTGTCTGCAGAAGAGGCTTGGGGAAGTGAAGTGACTTGTCCAAGGACATTCAGAAAAGTTGGACCTGGATTTGGGTATCCTTCCATCCTCACAGATCTGCCTCAAACACCACAAACTTGAAGTTTCCCTCATAATGGGTCTAATTTGGGAAGGATGGAGACAGACACAGACCATACGTGAAGGTTGGGGGCTGTGGGGTTCTGGATTAGAATGGACTTGCTCTTCAGGGCTGGGTCAGGGCTGCTTGTACTGCTAGGAGAAGCTAACCCTTTGAAGACGAGAAAGGCTGCTCCCCACCGTGGCCCCCACACCCAACTCTGGGAGCGGGCCAGGTGGCTTCTGCCAGTTTTGGGAATCCCCAGATGCTGGGTTGCCGCAGAGGGAACTGCTTGGGAGTGGTGGGTTCTCTTGTCTAGGTTTGGAGGAGTCGTCCCATTGGGGAAGGAAAAAGAGATGTGGGAAGTAGAGTGAGCTGGCAGTTTATGTCTTGGCTTGGGGTTGCCTGGCTGGGCAGGGGTAGCTTTAGCCCACCCCCCCAGCCCTGATTCACTTGGGACCAGTGTCCCTCTCAGGGCCAGCAGTCAATGCAGTGGTGCAGCTTTAAGTTTAGAGGCAACCAGTTCCATCAACGTGCACTCTGTCACAGCAGCTGTTATTGCTCGTGCACCACGACAAATGCTGGGCATTGCTTGTCTCACGTAAGCTTCATCACCACCTTGATGGGTCCACATGCCTGTCCTCGTTCTTCATGGAGGATGTCAAGGCTCTGGAGCCAGTGTGCTCACAGTAGTCAGCGTGTCAGGGGTAGGGGGGGTCTGCGGAGCAGACCTATGCCTAGGTGGGCTCTCTGCCTCCATGCTGAGCTCACAGGCTCTGTGCCTTCCCCTGAAATACCTGCCCTCAGTTGCCCTGTATGTAGAATGGGGATAATTCCACCTGCCTGTTGGATTTATTATAAGCTGGAATTGAAATCACGTATAGGAAGCACCTAATTTGTAGTTGCTGATATCCAGTTCTTGCTTGATAAGTGGTGGCCAATCACTGTTACAGTGGGCCTTGCCCCTTACCGTTGGTCCCCTGGGTATCCCAGCAAGGCCACTTCCCCTCTCTGGGCCTCTGCTGCCTGGTCCCTGTTCCAGATAAAGGATGCTTCAGCTCCAGTGAGGTCAGAAGTGGCAAGGGCCTTTCCCTCCAGTCAGAAGGGCCCCCCTGGCCTGTGGTATCAGGCTGCGTAGAGCTCCAGCCCCCTCCTCTCCCTACCACCTCCCCAGTTCTGCCTCCCACATGTGTAATTAAGCTCAAAAACATCCAGTGTAAGCAAATAATAACAAGGGCATTATCTCCCTTTTGTCTGTGTTTTTCTTTGCCTATCATAAAGTAATTAAAATAATGAATGCCTTGTAAAACAATAGGTAAGAGTGCTGGCAAGAGAGCATTATCTGCCGTATACTGCTTGTGCTGTGAATTATTAATGCATTGAAACCACTGTGACTGGAGAGGATTCCTGCCTCCAGCCCTGTCATGCCCATTCCCTCCGCCTGGGTCTGCCAGGTGGCTGCAACCCTGAGCTCCAGGAGTGGGGGAGCAGAGAGCTGGCCCTTCACACACCCCTGGTCATGGCCCTGGACCAGTTCAGAAATGTCCCAGGGACACGCTGCTCAAGAGGAAACATTAAAGCCTCTGATTCGAGGGCCTTTTCCCTGCCCCATCTCTTCCCTGTCCACTCCACGTCCTTTAGTTCTGGAAGAAGCAGGCAGTTCTGGACCTGGATGAAGGGAGGGGCTAGGAAAGGGCTGGGTGTTAAGATCTATGTCCCATTTCAGATAATAGCCTGGATGATCAAGCCATGACAGGATCATTAGGAGCAGTGGTTCTAAAAGTGGGGTTGCCAGACCAGCAGCTTCAGTATCACCTGGGAACTTGTTAGAAATACACGTGGTGGGGGTGGGGGCAGCACCCTGGGTTAACAAGCCCTACAGGTGGTTCTGATGGCCCTTCAAGTTTGAGGTCCACTGCTGGAGTGTCGGTGGCTGGAGGAGAAGTGGGAGACTATGGGGCTTATTATATTGGACATGTATTAAGTGTTCTGGGATGGTTTTAATCCGCACCATGGTTGTGGGCAGGCAGTGCTGCTCCATCTGGCAGGGCAGGTCCCATGGAGGCAGGAGAGCTGGCTCTACACCTTCAGATACTAAGGTTGACCCTGGATCAGGGTCTTCTCTTCCAAGACATGCAACTATGCAGAGTCTTTACCTGGCTGAGGCATGGGGTCCTACCAGGACACTGAGACTGGCCTTAGGTGTCTCAGGCAGCTGGCTCCACAGATGTCAGCAGGTCGCCCTCAAATATACCCACCCTGGGCCAAGCCCTCACCCCACCCCCACTCCCTGCTTCCTCTTGGACTGCACTAGCTCTGTGGGGCCCAACACCCTTGGAAATAAAACATGAGCACCCCGTGTTGCTGGTACTGCTTCTCTCTTCCCAGCTCCCCTGAGCCTGGGGTGGCTGGAGGGAGAGAACCAGGCATCAGGAGCAGCTTCCTGCCAGCCTGCACGTTCCCTAGAGCAGCAGTCCCCAACCGTTCTGGCACCAGGGACCAGTTTTGGGGAAGACAGTTTTCCAGGGACTGGGGTGGGGGCATGGTTTCAAGATGATTCAAGTGCATTACATTCAAACTCACCTCCTGCCGTGCGGAGGTGAGTTTCCTAACAGGTCCGGACTGGTACTGGTCTGGTCCCAGGCCCAGAGGCTGGGGACCCTAGCCTGGAGGATGACTTACCCAGACTCCGAGCCCTCTTTTCCTCATTCTGCCCCTCCCTCCTTCACTGCAAAGATTTTTACCTCTGCCCTTGGTTTTTCCCCCTTACTCCAAGTCACAATGATCCACAGCGTCAGTTTGCTTTGGAAATTAATTCTAGTGTTTTAAATGATGAACGTAATTGTGCTGGCATCTTTTAAGACATCTATAGATCTGCAAAAAAAACAAAAACAAAAAACCCCCTCAGTGCGTATTTGAGTAAAGGGCTCAGTTAAACTTAAATTTTAGATAAATAATGGATACATTTTTAGTATAAGTATGTTCCATGTCATATTTGGGGGCATACATATGCTAAAAATTTATTTGTTGTTTATCTGAAGTTTAAATTTCCCTGGCTGTCTCGTATTTTATTTGACAACCTTAAGCTCAGGTTCCATAGTCAGTGAGGGGCTGATACTCATACTTATATTTGTTCGTTCTTCATTCATTTATTCATGTTTATTGAGCCAACTGTATTCCAGGTACTCATTTAGGCACTTAGGATACAGCAGTTGGGGTGGGGACAGAGAGTAAATGAAATAAGTGAATTTTAGAGTATATGAGAGATTTTAAATGCTTTGGAGAAAAATAAAGCAGAAAGGCTATTTTGTCAGAAGGCAGGGTTGCAATTTAAAAAGGGTAGCCAGAGAAGACTTCATTGAAATAGTAATATTTAAGCAAAGACTCGAGGGTAGTGAGGGACCAAGCCGTGAGACCCTTTGTGGGAGAAAAGTATTTGTGGGAAGCGAGGGTACATTGTATGCAGATAAGTTCAGGTTAAGGCCCAATGTGGGGCTCAGTTATCTGATGATGTCAGCCTTGTTTCTTCATGCACATTTGAGGCCATGATAGGTAATTTATTATCTCCTATAACTGAAAAGGGCCAGGTTGGATTTCAGGCATAGCTGGATTCAGATATTCAAATGATGACATCAGCATTTCATCACTTCTCCTACTTTTCTCTGTGCTGCCTTCATTCTCAGGGAAGGGTTACCTTCCCTACGCTTTCCAGCAAAAGTTTCGAGCTTAAGTTGTATTGCATTGGTTGTATATCTTGTGATCACCGGTGGCACAGTCACAATTGCCAGGGGGATGGAATGACATGATTTAGCAGTCCCCATTCCTGGAGCCAGCGTGGGCCTGCCAGTCCCTTTGGAACCACACGGAGGAGTGAGGAGGTGGGGATTTCCTTATGGAGACTCCCATGAGAAGGCAATGAAGGCTGGGGAGGGAAGACCCCAGGCAAGACACTTTTCCTCCTGAGCTTTGTGATTTCTTCTTAAAAATGGGAAGAGGAGAATCTCATTAAAGGTATTTTAAGAAGAAATAAAGAAAAGATTCTTTTTTTTATAAGATTTTAAAAACTGATCAAAGCCATAACCCATTCAGTCTTTCCTAACTCTTCAAGCCAGTTCCTACCTTAGCTGAGGACTCCTTGATTTTGTGGGGTAGGTTGTATTTTTAAAATGCACTTGGTCCCTATGTCTCAATCCTTATTCTCTCTGTTGCCAGGAGGCCCAGAAGATTAACAATGGCTCAAGCCAGGCTGATGGCACTCTCAAGCCAGTGGATGAAAAAGAGGAGGCGGTGGCAGCTGAGGTCGGCTGGATGACCTCTGTGAAGGACTGGGCGGGGGTGATGATATCTGCCCAGACACTGACCGGCAGAGTCCTGGTGAGTCCTCAACTTCCTCCTCACATCAGGAGGCCTGCTTCTGGTCCACCGTTGCTTTGTTTATGGAGATGCGATGTTTCACAGGGTCTTCGACAGGCCACTGGCTGTTGGGAAGTGCAGCTAACAGGGAGCGCTTGTGTATGGTCATGGACAGGCTGGGTTCATGAACATCTAAGCTAAGGTTTGCAGAGTGGGCTATTGTTTGGGGCACAGAGGGACCAGGGAGTTCTAAGAGAGAGAGAGAGAGAGAGAGAGAGAGAGTGTGTGTGTGTGTGTGTGTGTGTGTGTATGTTTGCTGGCCTTCTAGGGATGCTACTGTTGTCCTCTGACTGCTAAGCAGAGAGCCCCTTTGGTAAATTTCCTAACCTCCTGCCCTGTGTGATCTGGATCCTGCCCACAGTGGACATCCTTAGTTATGTTGGGTGAAACTCATTGGCAGCCCACCCAAGGCTATCTGGGCCTTGCTTGGAGCCACATTATTTCTGATGAGGCTGTTTCCTGCTCCATCTGCAGCCAGGGCTCATCCTGTCTCTTCTCTGGCATTGCCTGCTTTCTCTCTGATCTGCTTGTATGGAGCTTGGCTTCACTGACTGGTCTCATGGTCTTCTGGTTCTTGGCAAGGATCATAGATGAATCAAGCCTGTAGTGACCAATCATGCCAGCTTGCCTGGGACTGAGGGGTACCTTGGACATGGGTCTTTCAGTGAGAAGAGAGAAGTCCTTAGACAAACAAGCACAAATTGGTCACTGGCCAGGGCATGCTCCTGTGGATCCTTTCTTTGGGGTAGCCCCGCCCCCTGGCTTTCTTGGGTCTATTCTAGGTCAGGAATATTCCTGAGGAGGGTTTGCATTCCAAATAATTTCTTCTTATAATTCTGGAAGCTGTTTTGTATGGGCTACCCTTCCTGGGCCTGAAGCTGGGGCTTGGTCAAAAGTCATTTGGCTCATAGATAGTAAATGGGGATGTCCTGATGGCTGAGTGGATCAAAAATGAGGCAGGGATACTGGAAAGTAGATATTATCACCCTTGACATTCCATGGCAAAAATTCAGTGAGGTGGTGACTGCAAATACAGGGAGGCGGTGAAAATTTTATCCATCACAGTCCTTCTTGGGGAGAACTGTACCTCGTGTTTGGGAAAAACATCTTACAAAACAGCTTAAAGGAAGAAGTAAGACACTGAATGCCATGCTTTGGTTATAAAGTTGGTGACCAAAGAGCATTCAAGAAGGACAGAGTTCTATTATCTGAAGGACTCATCATGAGCTGAGCCTTCTGAGAGTCTGGTTATAAAGCCGTGGCTGATGTTAATTGATAGCAAAATAGAAAGGGGAGAGATTTAAAGTTGAGATTTTGGAGGAGGAAAGAGGGGAGGGGATGATCCAGGTTGGTAGGATCCAGGTTGCTGCCCAGGAAAAACTGGGCAGCACTGGGGATCAGATGAGGTAGGGAAGGCAGCATTGCTGTGGGCTGTGCTGTGTAACCACCATCCTTGTCTCTCCTGCCTCCTGCCCGCCCAGGTGTCCAGTAGAATCTGCATTGTTCTTCTGTGCTTGTTTCCGAGTGGATTCCACATGTGAAACTTAAAGGGGTTGAATTCTGGGTCTGGGCATTCATGTAGGATAAATGGAGGCAGTGCCTTCTGTATGTATGGTGGTGGTGGTGGATGAGGAGCAGCAGATAGTTTGGTTACACAGATGTGCAGTCCCCACAGCTTCTATGTGTCCCCTACAGACAGTTCTGATTATTCTCAGCAGCATCAGACAAGAGTTACTGAGCACCAACTCTAGGCCAGGTGTTCTTTTCAGCCCCATGATTCCATTGCACCATGGAAGTCATTGAAGGATTGTCTGGAGAAATGCTATTAGTATAAGCATTGTGTGGCTGTGTGTTTGGGTGGGGGAGCTGAATATGGAGAATTTGGGTGGGGGATCAAGAAAGCCATCATAGGGACAGAAGCTTTTGAACTGAAACTTCCATTTCAAGGTGGACCGAGCATACACTTGTGATATAAAAAACGAAAATGTACTTGAGCTTGAAAACAAGAGAGGGACCACTTAATGGCCCAGATGCTGAATACCTAATAAGACAGACAGCATTTGAATTGAGCTTTGAAATGTGAGTTAGGATCTTGAGCATCAAAGCAGAGGAAATCCTTTCAGAGTGAGGAGCAGTAGGAGCAGGGAATGGCCACGACACTGATGAACCAAGGCCCTGGCTGTGAACACAGTGGCGCCCAAGGAGAAGTGAGCCTGGGAAGGTGGGCTGGAGACAGCTGATCCCCTCTTCAGATGCCAAGCAAAAGAACTTGGGTGGAATTTTGAGGGAAAGGGGATTTTGAGGGAAGGGTATGATGATTGGTGGTTGTGCAGAGAGAGCTGGTGGACAAATGGAGACCAAAGTGGTGAGGTGGGGAGCTTGGCGGTACTAGGATCAGTTAGGATAGCGAGCTCCTAGCACCTGCGACAGGACTTGGGGGACTGCAGCAGTGGACCTGGTGAGGCAAGGCCTGAACTAACACCAAGCTGTGGAAGCAGGTAGGTGGATGTGGGTAACATTATGTAAGTGGAATCAATCACAGGCCAAGTGCATCCAGCATCCACCTTGATACTACTGCTGGCAATAATACTATTGAAAGCCTCCTGTGGGCCGGGCACTATGCTAGACCCTGCATGTTAGGATTAGATCAAAGGGTAAGGACCATGTGGAATTTTTTTGTATCTTCCATTTTGCTGTGGTGTTGTAGGGATTCATTACAAGGAAACAAGCAAGGCAGTTGTATCAATGAATGTGTTTCCATTTTATAGTAAAAAAAAACAAAACCCCAAAGCATAAGAAGGGGAGTGACTTGCATAAGAATATGCTGCCTCCAGGTTAGTCCCTGCAGGCTCTGGACTCCCCATCTAGTGCTCTTTCTGTGTCATTACTTCCAAGTGGAAGATAACGCCTCTTCTTTTCTAAGCCACTGCCAGCTGTCACTTTGGCTGTGAGACTTTGACTTTATTGTCTCTGAGCCATTAGGTCCTAAGGCTTCTTGGCTGGATTCTTTTAACATTTGCGTGGAGAAGCAGTCTGCCCAGGCCTGTTTGCCGAAGCAGCCAGCTGCTCTCTGAAGTCTCCTTGGAGAAAATCCTGCCCGCACTGCTCTGGTACCCTCCGAGCAGAGCAGGTCCCACAGCACAGAGAGCAGGCTTCCCTGAGTTCCAGAACAGGCCTCTGCTCTAGGAGAAGGCACGTCCTTGCTCTGAGCAAGGAACAGATTTCACATTGAAGTCTCAGTGTCTGCTCAGAACCCAGAGCTGTGTTTGTCTTGAGCTGTCCCCATGTTTAGCCTTCCAACAGTGGGACTAAAAGCAAGACTAGACACCTGGCTGTTCAGAGTTTCCCTTTTCAGTTTTTAATTTGTCCTCCTTGATCCATGGCTCAGGAGCTTAGCCTCCACATCTGGGTACTCCCTTCACCTGTCTCATTGTCACAGGCGAGAGAGTCTCAAAGCTGGGGCGTTGTGGATAAGGCTCAGCTGGGGCAGGATGCGCCAGGACAGCCCAGGCATAGCTGTGGACTCCCCTTCTGTCCGGGCTCTCTCAGAGGGGCCCATCGTTCATTTGTACTTGTTTCTCACCTGCACCAGACACTATTCTAGGCACTGGGCATAAAGCAGGGAGCAACAGAGATCCGGGGTGTGAATTATTTATAATGATAAATTAGATACAGTGTTGTAGAGCTCAGTGTAAAAATGACTAATGATTGTCACTACTGATCAGTGCTTTTTATAGTGAACACCTGGAGCTTTATCATCACAGTGATAATTCCTTGACCAGGTCTCCAGACAGCCGGTCCTTGCCTTGTGTCTCACCTTGGCACTCATGCTTTAGCCTCACAAAAACAGCAAGGCTGGGCAGAGCCTTCTCTTGGAGCACATGGCCGAGGGAGTCCACCTCCAAGTGAACACCAAGCTGTCAAGGGTTACTGCTTCCTTTAATTAAAAATATTTATTTAAAAATGTTTTCTGATTATAAAATTTTGGAACACAGTGGAAGTATTGCTGATAAACTCCACTTTGGGAATACCTCCCAGCTGCTGTTTGGGCATCGTCGGGGACGTTGTTCACTGCGTGTCGCCCTATCTGCTCTGTGCACAGACTCAGGGGATTAGCGGTTCTCTGTGCCAGGGTTTGCTGTGGCCCTCCTGGCGAACCGCTAGTCAACACCATAAATTGGGAGAGGGAGCATGGCTCTCTTTGTGTTGTGGCTGCTTGGAGCCACGTTGGTGGCCTATATAAAATACAGTTTTGGGATTTGCATTCTGTGTGTTCACATACCTGTGGCTTCATCTCTGTGTCTCTCCTCACTTTTTCTCTTTGTCCTTATTTCCTCACTCTTCTCTTGAACTTTCCGTTGTATGGGTTATGTGCTCCACACAGTTTCTCGAGCAAATTAAAGTCCTTCTAAGAGTAAGGCAATGCATATAGATAAAGAAGGCAAGATACACACTGAGCCAGCTTTCGTGTTGTTTGGTTGTACTTTATGGAAACATAAGCCAAAATCAATATTGGTGATAGTCTAGTTCAGGGGTGGTAACTTTTTCTGTAAAGAGCGAGCCAGGTAGTAAGTGTTTTAGGCTTTGCAGACCATAGGCACTCACACAGCTATTCAACTCTGCCTTTATAGTTTGAAAGCAGCTACCAATAATACATGGGCATGGCTGTGTTCCATTTAAAATTTATTTACAAAAACAGGTGGTGAGCCAGAGTTATTTCATGTGTCATAGTTTACTGACTTTTGGTCTGGCTCATCTCCTTATTTTATAAATAAAGAAATTGAAAGTCAACAATTGAAAGCAATCCCTTAGGAAAGCATTCTCTGAGATAATATGGCATAAGAGTGACAGCATCAGAGAACCCATTCATAATGGGGGATGTTGCAGACACAGACACACACACTCACACCACCTACGTCAGGACCTTATTTCTGAGTACTCACATTAATTTCCCCCTTGAT